TTTATAATTATGATGTCGATTTTGGTGATGACGATGACGCACGATGATGATACTTTACGATAATATAGGCCCTACATATTTTTTTTTTCCAGGACCACAATGAAAAACATTTCTTTAAAATGATTGTGTCATCCTGGCTAAAGATATTAGTAAATAAATAAATAAATATTTGAAATATTATAATGTTACGTATATTCAACCTCATGGTATATAACACTTAGACTCAACTCCCAACGTGCATACATTGCAAATGCCGATATTGTTCATACATCGACATTAATAGATATAATAATAATTGAATGTATTAAATAGATTATTGAATCAATAAATTTATAATACAATAAATAAATCATCAATCAATCGATCAAACCATAACCAGCCAATTAATGTATATGAATGTGTAAACAACGATAACTCGTTATCCCTAGTGATAATCTCAGTAAGTTCATAACCGTGTGACGCATTGAATTTTTAGTTTTATTTCTGTTTTTGTATATTGATGTTATTCATTATTAAATCTATGCAATTGCTTATGAAAAGATGAAATAAATTATTTAAATTTTAAAAAATAAACTGGCTTTATCACATTTTATTTAATTATTGTCTGTACTAAAATGGTAAATGGGTCTAAAATTTAGAAAATCTATAGCGTAGGCCTAATTTACTTAATAATTTACATCTATGATAAGTCTCTATCCGTGTCAAAACTGAAACAGGTCCATTATGATAAAGATGCGTACGATATATCAGCGACTATTTTAGAAGCAGTGTGTTATTTTATAGTAAAATAAATCCGCAGAATTCCCGCATATTACACCGATCCATTATTGCTCCCCTTAATTGTATATTGTCTTTGCGAAATGCAACACATTACCTGTTAATGTGATTGTATAGCATACTAAATGTAATAATAGAGCATTTTGATAGATTCAGTGTGACAGTTGAACAAATAAACAGGAATTGCCTTGAGAAATATAACTCCAGAAAAGTAGTTAATGCTGAAACAAAAAACACATTTCAAGTGTAAATGTGTTTTCTTAATATAAAAATCCCAGTTGTTTATATCAACCACTGCTGCAGTGAAGACGCATTTGCAGAGGGCGCAATTATACGACAACTTGTTCTATGATGTTTCAACATGAGGTGATGATAGTAGTTTGGTAATTTAATGGCGACCCTGTCTGTAATGAGACATTAAACTTAATGAAAATTATATTCCAAACTTGAGTTTAGCACTTTCTGTTCTACTAAATTATCAGCTTTCAATGAATAATTAAATAAAACTTTCTATGGCCCACGTGTTTCCTATATATATATACTGTCTCTTATACACATCTAGATGTGTATAAGAGACAGACATATAGTTAAGTCATATATTTTATCATCTCGGTTGGGAATTCTAGGAGTCTGATAACATATAATAATGTTGAAATGAAGCCCTTGTCCTTTTGAATAGAAGCCCAAGGGCTTAATGTCGAGAAGGTCATCTCGAAAAGCACTCCTCTTCAGTAGACCTCGAAAAGAAGCCCATCTCGAAAAGAAGCTTATCTCGAAAAGAAGCCCATCCCGATGAGAAGCCGATCTTGAAAAGAAGCCCATCAAAAGTTCGTAAAAGAAGGAGCCTAAGACTTCTATTCGAGGTATTACAGTGTATAGGCTTATGTGTACTCTATAGAGAATGAATTGACGAGATCGAGGCAAATGGGTTTCTTACCTTTTCTGTGATCGTTACAGCCCCTTAAATGCTAAAAGCAAAATCCGAGAACATCCAGCCTAGGCCTAGAGGGATCGCTTTAACGAGACGGTACCATATCTGACCAAACCAGAATCCACTTGGAAGGATATCTCAATGTCAATTCTGCGGCTGATTGAGGCGGCATTCGATCAATATAATAAGCAATATTGTCAAGCTCTACTAATTACCTCCTTTCTCTATTCCGTCATTGCTTTTGTACACCGTAACGAACTTAAAATTACGCCTCTATATTCGGCCGGCACGTTCCAGTGGATGTTAATGCATTATCTAAATTCTCTTATACAATGGGAAGAATTAACGACCAATTCGTGATGTAGGCCTTAACATGGGAAACAAGCGCACATTAGTTGTAAATCAAGCTGGTATGAGGCGCGCCCGTGTCGAGAAGTTCCTTAATTAATCATTTTATATATTGTATATTAATATGGATTTAAAAAAAAAATAGTTGAAATCATTAGATTTATCATATATACGCTGTTGTTCGTGATTTATCTTGTTCCTTTGCATTAAAAGGTACTCATAAACGGCGCGCTTTCCATATTAAGCATCGTGTTTACGTTGAATACTCGAAAAGATCCTTTACTCGGGAATTGACGCGCGCAATCCACTAGTACCGTTTTGTGCCACTGAGATGTACCGTAAAACTTCGAATAGAAGCCCATGGGCTTATTGTCGCGAAAGCCATCTCGAAAAGAAGCACTCCTCTTCAGTTCGAAAGGAAGCCCATGGGCTTCTAATCAAGATAAAATGTGCTTCTTTCAAAATAGTACTCACATTCGACTGACACTATCTTTGAATATTATGATAGAGTGTCAGTATATAAATATTATTTTATTTTACTAGCATGGTTGAATTAAAAAAAAATATTAAACAGAATTTCGAATTCCATAGTTGAATTGTCTCATCGTACAATTTCGACTCGTTCCTGTGATCTGTAAGAACAGTAACATCAGGGGCGATTCCATTTTTCAAACAGGGGGGGGGGGGGGGGGAACAACATATTTAGAGTCACTGAATAGGTAAACACATAAATTTTGAATTGAAAATTTTAAAATTTAATGCCAAAACGTGCCTCCCCCCCCGTGCCCCTCCTGGATCCGCCCCTGAACATTCATTTATTCATCCATCCACCAATCCAATCATCCTGTAGTGGCACATGGAGGGATGTATCTTTTGCCGTTGCGCACCAAAAGTATTGAATCAGCACCCACACTCCGTTTAATTTTCTACCAGCATTACTTCATTCAAGTCAATCATAGGAGAAAATTATTATTGATAAACAAACATGTATTTAAACAGTCTCAGTTAATTCCCATTTAGTGGTGGTATAATATCGTTTGATAACCTGGCACAGGTCCACACTATAAGTTTTATCTGTCAGTCGTGATTTCAATGTAGGCCTATACCACGAAGAATAGGGATACGGCTGGCCGACTTCGAAACAGACTTGGAAAGACAAACACGATTTGTTTGACCAAATTACGTCTGAAACAAGCACACGCCACAGAACAACAATAAACAAACTACCGTATAATGAATTCTCGAAGCTAATAGAAAATAAAACGCATAGCATCAAATAGGAACGACCCCAGATAAACCTATATAAATACCGTTAAATAGACATCGACTAATTAATTCCACTCTTGACGTAATTCCAATGAAAGCAATTTGTCTAAGCTAGCTAAAAGCGTAAGCTTTTTGGCATCGCCAAAATGTAGGCCTGCACATAACAAAATTCCTGTATTCATAAACGATCTAAAAAAATCTAAAACACTTCAGTCATTAACAGGACAGGTAATTTCACTTTAAGTAGACACCTAAAACATTGTAAATTGATGTGAGCAAACAAAAAACAAACTCATATACAAAATCGGATTGTTTCTTCATCTCCTAGCTGTCTCTTTGATCCGTGCTTTTAGGCTAAAGACGGGCTTCTAGAGCCTCTCAAAGCCGTTGACGATCATTATAACCTACTTGATGAATGAAGCTCGGAAAGAATGTAGAAGTTAATTGAAATACAGACGAAGAAAAGACCAAACGAAGCGAAACAGTGATCGAGAGGATAGCGATGAGCTAGTCTCCGATAAGAATATCGTGATGCGTGGACAAATACAAGTAATCTATGTTCTTTTTTCGTCATATTGAAGGGGTTTCCAATTAACAAACTGAGAGAAAATTGAAAGCTTACTAGATGGGGGAACTTTTCATTCAATCTTACATTGATTTTCTGCTCTGCTAATGACACTCAGTTCTGTAATTGAAATTTGTGAATGACAGGCCGTGGCGTTCTGGTTTTGGTAGTAATATCGTCATTGAAAATATTTAAAATGGAAATCTAAAAAATAATAACTAGATCAAAGAGAGAGAGAGAACGAGAATATTAAGCTGCATTAAGAAGTAATTTTAGTTCATGTTTATTGAGACGGTTGCCAGATATATTCACGAAAAACTCGACCTTTCCTCCAGCAAACATACACTAAACTCGCCGTCCGACAACAATCGTGTCACTGTCATAACGAATTATAATTTTTAAAAGGAAATATATGCAAATTGACAATAACATGTCGGACTGTATTTATAGGCCATTACATTACTGGGCCATTATGAGAGGCGAGTTTGTTCATCCCGAGCACCGTATTTACTGACAGTCGTTTTGTAAAACTTTAAATTGTCTGGTAATCAAAGGCTGGTAATTTAAAGCCAAGTCTTCGATCATTTGCGATACAGAACACAACAGCAGTATCCTATTGACAATGAGTAGCCGATTCGTGCTTTATAAGACGGTGCCGCAATATTGTACGTTTATTTGATTATAGTAATGATTCGCTACAAGTCACAACCCATGACTACGTCATTAAATTCTCGATGAAAATGATTTGTCTGCACGCTCAAGCAATACACAATTAGCTGATATGACGCACGCATTCAACCCATGTACACTAGGTACACACACTGTGTCGTACGAGTCCATTCCGCTGTTCGTGAGCGTTTAGCGACGTAACACCGTCTGCTGACTATCGGGGGCAGTCTGAGCGACGATGACGTCTGAGCAACGATCCGTTGCGCACGCCAGGCCGCGTTGCGAAGTTCTGATAGAATTACGTCGGCCGACGACTATCGGCTTTAGGCGACACAAACACATTTGGACGCACGTAAAAAATATTTTGGCGACGCCCGTGCATCTGAACGCACACACACATGATTAGATGACGTCTACATTGAAAATAATTGAAGAGAAGACAAATGATGGAAGGACGGATGTTTTATTCAATGAATCTCATTGATACAAGTTGCTGCATGCTGGCTCCAAAAGAGCATCTTACAGTGAAATTTAGAGTAACTTTAATATTAGAAAACAACATACACTTACGAACTACAATTTCAACGTTTGAAAATCATTAAATAAGCGAGATTGTAAATGTGGCAATGACTCCGCAATGATTCACGTTCATTTATGTTATTAACAGATTACCGTTCACTGCATAATGGGTCCTCAACCTTATAATATGATGCAGCTTAATAAAATAAAACCATCTTTACATATTTTTCCCATTAACATTTCGTTTTTGTATGAACGTGTGGAACGAAAGTGGTAAGTCGCTGCATTTTGTCACTTATTTTCCATCTATTAAGGGAATGTTCTCAGAGATTTAACAAAAATTGCATAAAATCGTACCAACGTCAAACGTATTCCAAGCGCTTTCATCCTCATCAATAAAATAAAAAAAACTTTAAATTCTTAAGACATAAATTGAATTGTTATAAATATTTATATATATTTTTTAAGTGGCCGGAAAACTTAGCTGTCATAGAACAAGAAAATATTTATAAGTAGGTCTATTTAAGTAATTTTTTTTATTTATTTTTGTTTTATTATTTTGCGTTTGTTGAATATTATTCTGACGGGATCTCTCGTTACATTTACCAGTCATAAAAAAATATTAAACCTGTCAACGCTTTATCGATGTTCTTGATAACAGTTACAAAACAAAATATTATACAATGGGGATGTCTTGTGGGATACGGAACTGAACTTCTTGTCTACATACGCAAGTGAATAAAACAGAAAGCAAGGACATTTTTTTTACAGCAAGTAAACGTGTGCGTTACGCCGATGGATATTTCTAATGGTTTAACGAAGAGATGATAGACCCAGTACGGTGCTTAAAGACAACTGGATAACCACCGTAGGGACTACGAGGGTCACATCTGTCATAATACGACCACTCAGAGAGACCACGTGATCCCAAGATACTCAAATAAAGAAAGTTACGATCGTATAAGTTGACGATATAGACCTGATTCTGGAAGTTTCTTATGGAAAGAAGTTTAGAAGGCACAAAGTTTATATCTTCCGAATATCAGCCAGACTGCTTTATGATTCTGAACTTATTATTTTATTCTTTTCTTATGCTAACTTTCTGTGTAGTCTACGTAACATTACAATATTATATTATCAATACTTAAATCCTGTCAAAATTTTTTCGTGACCAAAATTAAGTCCACTCCTCAATAACTCATAAGTTTATGGAGAATCGTTTCCATCCTGTAAATGAACCTTTCCAGAATGTCAATCAAACTTAACCACAGACCAATTAGAACAGGCTGTGGATTATGCGCACATCCTACAAGCACACGTTGTCCCTCAAATGCATGTGTTTACGTACGTTTACACTGGCGTTTTGTGGAGCATCAGCAACAATATTGAAGGACTGCGAATTAGCAAAAGGTCCATTGTGAGTCAATGTTGAATAAAAATACTAACAATATATTTCACAACAAAAGAATAAATTATAATAACCATCATCATAATTATGAATTCAATAATAACAAATTAACAATTTATGCTGTTGTATGATAGGCATCACTATTTTGTAATGCATAATTGATTCTTCTAAGTTTAGGCTTAGTGTATTTATACACTAAGAATAAACAGTAATTTACTATACAAATTTTACACTTATTTTCTCGAGAGTACATTATGTCAATATAAGATGGACAGAGTTAATCAATGGCAACCAAGTATATCATATTAGTTAATGAATTCTTAACAAGTTATTTATTAAGTTAAATTTTCAGATCATTTCTGCTTATTTTGCTTTGCTTTTCTTCTTGCGGGCCCGCACTTTGTGCTTCTTCGTCTTTGAGTCCACTATTGACTGTGCTTGTTTTTTCAATTTATCCCGAGTCACGATATCTTCATCCTCACCGCTATCTTCTTCATCTGCATTATTAAAACAAACACAAGACCATGTATTAACTTTAACAAAACACACCAAATTCATTTGCAATAACATCCAAGTTAACCAACAGTAAATTTAAAGCACAGAAGCTTTAAAGTGGTAGTGCACGGATTGATGTTAAACAGAAGTAGAGTTTTAGTAGCAGCAGATGCAGCCTTGGCAGCAGCAGCAGTAGAAGCAGCAGTAGAAACAGCAGTAGAAGCAGCAGTAGTAAACTGCAGCTGCAGTAGGTGCAGTGGTGGCAGTAGCAGAAGTAGCTTAGCCGCAGTAGTAGTAGTTGTACAGTTTTAGTAATACAGTACTCTTAGTTGTCAGTAGACCAAGTAGAGTAATAGTGCAAAAGTTACAATAAACACCTTATACTGTCATCATGTCTGTAACATCAGCCAATTAGATGTGCCAATTTAAAAGTGAGCTCAGAATGATATCATATTAACACCAAATAACACTGTCGCTTTAAAATTGTAGCAACAGCTTCGGATCCCTTTGTAGAGGATGATAATAAATTACAGTACGATCCACAAAAGCTAAATAAATATTGAAAGAAAAACAATAACATCTTGATAAATTCTATTTTATGGACGGCGAACAGGTGAGAATTAATTCTCAATATCTGGTTGCTTAACAATATTAGTCTTCTATCGTCAATAAAATTTTCATGATTCAATTCAACATACATTTTTGTTATTAACAGTTAGTGAGCATAACAATGATAGAAACAAATTATATTTTGTGTAAGGTACAGTAACATTATTTATGGCTTGAATAAAATAATACATCTGGAGAAATCAATAAACATAAATAGTAATACCATTGTATCCTGTGAAGTTTATTGATATGCTTGTAATTGTATTTGAATGGCATCCTACCTAATTTTCTATTCAATATCTTAACAAAAAATGTTTACTACAAATGAATCAATAAAGAAAGAATTGTTCTTTTGGTGAACAAAAGCATAAATATTTTATGTTTGTATGGCTTGAATGACTGAACCAATAAAGAGATAGAAACTTCATTAGAGCTTCTTATTTATACACTCAATTCAATTCATTCATTCTTTATAACAGTAAACTTTATATGTATATATACTTTTACATAAAAAGTTTACCATATATATGGTCATTGCAAAAAAATCAAAAAAGATGTTCAGGTAGGCAATAATAATAATAATAATAATAATAATAATAATAATAATAATAATAATAATAATAATAATAATAATAATAATAATAATAATAATAATAATAATAATTTTGGCTACTGGCTCTCTGGTGTGACGATCTGTTTCTTACACAACATTCGCAATACCATCTGTGCCTGCACGCTTTACATTGAGGCCCAGTGCAGTATCTCATACAGATACAGATAAGGCCTCAGGGACCCACAGCGACTGGAGTGCTGCATCTACTATGGTCAGTACATCCCCTACTCTTTTTGAGTAATGTAATGAGTTTTTTTTATGCAAATGTACTATTGTCCACACAAAACCAAAATCTCAACGCCCCATCCGAAAGATAAGGTAGTTAGAGCAAAGTGTCTTTATCCAAAGACACAAGCAAGAATGACATTGATAAGTTTCAAACTGTTGTCCAGCTCGTCCAATCCCTTATCTCTGCACCCTCATTGGAAATATGTTATGGAAAATGTTATAGTTTTTTACACTTGCTTTAATATTGAACACAAAATATACAATAATTATTATTAAATAAGTTACACAATTTCAATTGGTTATTTTTGACAAGTTTTATAATGTCTTTTTTTTTAATGAGCAAACTCCTTCTGAATTAAAAAAAACAAAACATGAATTATCAATTATAAATACAGTATTTTGTATGAATAAATTGTCAGCCAATACTGAAGCTATAGGTGAGTACATGTCCATTAAAATTTTAATTTACCCCTACTGATATTAATTATTCATTTTAATTAAAATTACAATAATTACCATTACAATTTCAACTTAAATTAGTGTCATTTGTAGTTTTTATTACCTTTACAATAATCGGAATTATAGAAATTATATACTGTACAGTAATTCAACATTTTTTCTTTTTGGTATTGTTACATTTCATTCATTTATCATCTAAGTAATATTCTGTATTATTTTAATCCTTAAAAATACAGGATGAAAATTAAATAAAAAATATAACAATGTGGATATAATTAGAAAAGGAATAAAATCTGATACGCAAAGAAATAAAAACTGCAAAATAAGGACATGTTAAGAAGAAACATAATTGTAAAATGCCATGGATAATTGTAGTGAGGGATTTTATACCCAAGCCACCTACATATCAGAAAAGGTAAAAGAACTATCTATGACAAACCCACATATCAGATGTCACAATACAGATTAAATTTCGTGTTGACAAGCAATTTGAAATGTTTTTAATGGAGGCAACTTTTAAAACGTCTACATCATTACAACTGGGACCGTTAGTTCATTTCTAGCTTGATCTCTAGAGCATCTTAAAATGAACACTATGGGGAGAGTTAAAAGGAACAGGCACGAAGGCTTATGATGTACCATCACGTCAGATGGGTGAGCATTCTTGTCAATTTACTTTTGATCTTAGTATTATTTGTAGGGTATGCTTGGGGGTTATGCGCATCAATTGCCTCTTCGTTGGATGCTATGCTATTTTTTATTGGTTACAAACGTGAAGAAAGGATGACTAACAGCTACGCGTGTGCCATTAATCTTAACGTCGAAATCCGTCTATTGGTTGCAACTTATACAATAAAATAAATAAGTGGCAATGCGGTTATAAATAGGGAAATGAAAAGATTTGTAGCACAGAGTCTGCACATGTGGCAGTTCAAACAATTATGAATATGTCAAAACTAAGCAGTAAAAGAACTGTAGCAGCATCTCCGCTATGCCACATGAATTGTGGCAGTGTGAGGATGTAGTACTATCATCAAACAACAGACTGTAGCAACATGGACATACTAAAACAGGAAACGACAGTACAACCAAAATATAGTAACATGCACAACAACATTGGCAGTGTGATATGTAGGACTAAACAGGGGCACTATGGTCTTCATTACTTGCCTTCCAATCCCAAACTCCTGGGTTCTTGCAACAACAAAAACATTTTACTCCAAAAACACTTAAGTTCAATAAACTTCTCCAGAATCAAAGGTAAAATTAATCTGTTTATGAAAAGCGTTAAAGTGACGTAGGATGTGATGAAAATTATTAGGTTTAGCTAGCACTCTAAGTGTGTCATCAACAAAAACAAGTATAAAACCTAATGCCTGGCAGGCATGGTTGATACTGGACGAATTTCTTTGTATTCAGCCTTCAGAGTGTGTCGACCGAAACTAAACAACTGACCAGTCAACCTTTGTGTTCAATAAGGCGGGGCCAGGAATAAGTGCTCCCCACAAACACACAAGAGCTTACTTACAGTTTCCCACTCAGCCTTGTTTCTCTACACATGGCTGTCAGTTTGTGGGGCCAGAGAATAAAAATACTTGAATACTTTAAAGTGGCAGGGCTTAGCTGAACAGTTATTGGTTATACAGAATTGATGATTCCGAAGTATAAGCTTCACTATGTGAATTGTACTCATAACAAAATGAACTTAATAATATGAACAAAAGGTTCATATAAAAGCAATGTAGAACATATTTAAAAGACAAATTAAAGCAACAAATGCCAACCACATCAGCAGCATTGCTTTCAGTAGGTTTAAAGGTTTTTCCAATCAAGAGAGGCAGAGATTAATTTAAACTTCATTGAAATTAGTCAATGTATATAGGCATTAACAATAGGCTTACACAGCTATCTGTCTATGCTTTCATTCAAGTTTAATGAATTTATATTTAATTATTTAAATAAAGGTTAATGAGTATTAATGATTAATGTAAACTTCAAAATTTCCTTCGCTACCTCTTGGAACTAATTATCATTATTACGTAGACGTTTATGATTTCATTAAATTAGTGGATTAAAAAAAAAAACCTCTTATGATGATCAAATTATCTTTGGTATTATATATTCATCAGACAGAGTTGCCAATCTTGTATTCGGTGAACAGGAGTGCTTCAAATATAATTTTGCTACAGTAATGGGAAAAATGCTTCAGCATAGTACATGGATATAATGTTATTCAACTAAAAATAATCATTTCAGATGGTTAACCAGGGCCAAAATCAATGGTTTAAGCATGAAAAATTCATTATTATGATTATGATTATTATTATTATTATTTACACTTAAAAAGTTGTCTATCTAAACATTATACAAGTATGTTGGGCTCTCCTTGGTTTTTTTCTTAAAAATCATTAACAAATCAAGCATGTCTTTTACAATTGTTTCACTTTTGCTACTTAGGTTCTCCTTCCATAACTGTGGTTTTTTGGTTAAGTTGCTTCCTTCCAATCCAAGTTCCTTGGTTCAGTGTTTACTTTATCAATTGTCTCCCTAACTTTAGCTGGAATTTGGCATCACAGCAAAATACAATAATATGTGTTAGAAAATTCATTAAACCACAGTGGTTTCTCACAACTTGGTACCCAAGTGAATAGTTTGTTCTAGTAATAGAGGGCACTATCATCATACAGTAAACAGATATTAATCATAGGTTAGTTGTGGAGCGTATGGCAGGCAAATTTTGTTGTACACAAATCAAGATATCGGAGTTTGTGTCTGAAACTGGTAAATTGATCGTGTCCTAGGTGAAAAAATACAGTAGTATATTTATGTATTCTATTCCCACCCAAGAGTATAAGTACGTACCTGGTAAGTTTGAATGTTAATGCCTGGATTACTACATACAGCATAATTATAATAAGTTGAGTACAGTATATGTTCTATAGGTGTTTAATCAAGTCACCGGGGTAGTAATAAAAACCGCAGACATTGGCACAAGTTGTATTAAGCCGCATCATTATTATTAGACCAAAGGTTTGCACGGTATTGATTGCAATATCATATTTATTGAGGGTATTCATCATTGAACCAAACTGATTCTTATGGGCTAAGCATAAAAAAAGGTAATTCCTTGTCAAGCCATGGGGCTCAATATGGGCAGGAGCTTATCCCCAGTTCCAAGTAGCGAAAAGCGGATAAGAGCATGATGCTATGGGCTAGCATAATAACCCAAATATTGTGAGGGTATTATATGTATCAAGCAAAAGCGTAAGCAAGATTAAAGGTATTTGAATTGATTTGGTTTTTTTATTTGGCATAATAAAAAATATGTACAAAGATTAAAAAGCCAAACATCAGAATACAATACAGCATAAAATACAGTATAAAGACCTAAAAATTGCTTTAAGTAGATAAACCATGGAATAAATATAAAGATATAAAAAGATCAGAATATATATACCATGTTTGCTATTACAGTATATCCATTTTCATTTATTTTTTCAACCAGTTTGCTTTTATGCAGTATGGTGCCAGAATTAAATCAAAACAATTGAGGGCGCTAGCATCTTAATTAAGCAAACAAAGAGTTCAATATTGTTTGAGAACAGGTAACCTGCTTAGACTCTGAACAGGTCATCAGAAACCAGACATAAGCATAACTTACACTGTAACAGATAGATCAGCGCAAAATTACAAAAACCAATGCTTACGAATATGCAGCTACTAAATTATTTGATTAAATACCTGCATGTTTTTCAGGTGTAAAATCATGATAACATTCATCAATAAATTTCAAATAATCAGCAGAATTGACAACTGAGATGAAAGGAAGAAGAAATTAAATGAAAATAAAAAGAAGATTTATATATGTTACTCAGTAGTATATTGCATGCAATAACATTGAAAGAAATAAGATAAAAACAAAATCATTTAGAAATGAAAGCAATTAAAGGCTCAATAACAGATGAGATATAAAAATAAATGACAAAATGAATTATGCAAAGAGAAATAGATATGGAATTGCAAATAATTTAATCCAGGATTTAAACAGATTAAAGTAATGAAATGTATTGACGTGCATTCCCGATGACATGCATAGTAAAAGCTCTCTACCCACTAAATTTATTATTCTACTAAAGTGCCCCCTAGGTGGATAATACCAAAACATTCTCTAAAAGTATTTACATATAATATATCCAAGTCATTCTATACACACCAACAAAATCAGCCATTAACGGAGTGTATAATAAATGATATGTGGATAGAAAGCACTTAATATTTTCTTGCTAACATCTGTATGATTGTTGCTGAGTACATGGCTTGATCACTAAGTGCTGCACTAATATTTTTTCGCCGTAGGGAAAGAGAGCCATCCTTTGTATGAAAAGATGGTGATTAGACACTGTAGATTTGTATGGGGAACGCTGAAATAGAGGGAGGTAGACTTACCGTCATATACGTTGTCCCGCTGCTGGGTAGTTGGCAACTTGATACGTGTGTTGTATTGTGGAAGGTTTGTCTCATAGCCAGCATGGTACTAGTAAAAATAATTATTAATTTATAAATTAAATATTACATATGAAATTATCCTTTATTTGAAAAAAAAAAATGCACTTTGTTTGAATCAGAAGGTAGCATAACACTTATTTTATATTGTTTAAAACATAGGTTGTGTAACAAAAAAGGTATGATGCACAAGTGTTGTAAACACCATATAGACCCTAGCATATATTTGTATGTTTATGTATACCTATGTATGTGTGATATAAAATCATGCTCAAAAACATACAGTAGTGTATACAAAATGCACATACACCTACAGGACACACATGTGTGATTATACATGAGTAAACACATTTACAAAGTATATAGGTGGTCCAATATACAATAAATAAGTTAAGTATATGTGTGATACATTAACACATATCAAACACAAATTGTAACGGTGTGTAAAAAAAAAGAAGATGTATTTGGTACAGACATATAGTTTATAAACGTACACCAAGTATGTGTGTATTCCGGTAGTATACACACATATTATGATACATACATGATATGGAAGTCAAATAAAATTCACGAACAAAATACTAATATTAATGCCGATGATTTTTCATTAGCAATCTTGTTAAACATAAATCATGGCGCTTGCTGAGAGACATTGATTTGTGGACTTTCGAGTAAGTTGACGGATTACAGGATGCGTCCACATTCCAATTACTCTTGCCACTCAGTTCCCCGTAGATTACAACTTGAGGCAATCAATTCTCATCGACGGTCACATTTGCTTTACAATTAATAACACTGTCTTCTCTTTTTTCCCCTCTTTCAACCATTTGACTGCTTTAAAGATACATTTTCTTGTCATGTGCTGAGGTAGAGATTGTGTAATTAGGCGTTCAGGAACCCTACCAATAACTCACTACAGATTACCGTGCATTAAGTTAATGAATATTTCAAATTTCGAAATAGCTAAGAGGATGCCATTAGACTGGCATTCTTCTATCTCGTATTAAATCAAAGAATGATTGCACAAAAACCCTTCACAACACAGATCAACTGAAACAGTAAAACACAGCATTAGTACTGGTACTACTAGTAGCAGTTACTTATTAAGTAATACCTATTTTACCAAGTATATAAGCCTTGATTATAGAAGCCAACGCCCTCTATAGTCTTCATTTCAGATACTACTAGCCTTCATCTGAATATAAGCCCAGGGTATATACAATTTTCAAAAACTGAATGCGCCTGAACTGTTTAGACATCCTCCTGTAAAGACTAGCAATGAAGTTTCCTAAGCATGATATTCCACGGATAAAAAGCATCTGCACCACCAAACAAGCATTGGGCATATAAGGTTATTTTTAGCCACAACAACTTTTAAAACTAAGAATGTGTTTTGAAAATAAGCTGAATCTAGTGGTCATCAAAATTTTGAGTAGCCAGCACCACCTCCCTCTTTTCATACTCGGTAAAATACAGTTGTAGTGGTAATTTTCATTTTTTTTTTTCATTGATTTAAACATTATAATTACCTCTTCCTGTTCCATTGTTGCCAAGGTTTCTTCAATGTCTTTATCGCCAAAATCTTCCATTAGTTTCAACAGCTTCTCCTCGCATCTAGAAAGCAGATCCAGAACATACTCATCGGAATCAGGGGAAAGTTGGGCTTGTGGTACATGACCTTTGCTCTAAAAAATAAAAACAACTGAGTTAATTACAATTTAGTTTATCAAAGAAAAATAATTTTACCTGTTTGCATAATTGAATTGTTCAATTTTAACATGGAGAACTTCAACTTCTAGGCCAGGGGTTGGCACAAAAATCGGTTTTTTATTTAACACTGAGAGCCACACCCAAACTTTGATGTTTACAGTTTGCTTCCAAAAACCTTCATGCACTGCTTTTATACCACTTTATTCTAGGTTTTAATATCCCATTTACAGACGATCGGTGTCAGGCCGTAAAAAACAAGCTGTTTTCTAGTCAAAACAGTTTGGCAGGCCGCACACACAGGGTTTTTAATTCATTTTCGCGGACTGCAAAAAAATCACTGTCGGGGCACATGCAGCCTGCGGGCCGCACCTTGCCCACCTGTTTTCTAGGGTATATTTTATAGAAACCATATAATGGTATTAATAAAATGTAATGTGGCCTGATTAAAAAAGTGCTTATGACCACAAAAATTATTTTGATAAACTGCCTGTAATTTATATTACTTTTCTTTTTTCCTCCTTTGGGGAAATGCACAAGGTCTATGACTGCCTGTTATGGTGTCATGCACTTTTTCAGGCCTGATTGTAATGCATAATTATATTTTAAGCCATACTTATGCTTCAATTGTACATTTGTGGTACAACATTTTTCTCCATTTTTGTCATGTAAGAAAGACAATTATCGATTTTTCCATGTTTGGCGATTAATAATTTTCTGAATCATAAATTTCCAACTTAACAATATTTTGATAATTATAATACTATTACGATTGTGATAAAGACTAATAATTATTCTATTTCATGGTTCCTTCATTTTATTTTCTGTGGCTTGTCATCATATTTTGTGGCAGAAGATAGCAAAAAATGGTTCAGCATAATTATATAGTTTGATTAAAATCACAGGTGTTTTCATAAAGTTACATTTTATTACCTACAGAAATATAAATGGTTTAGAATGGTTCAAACCGTTCTTATTTGATCCTTGTTCAAAGACACTTTTTTTCTACCTATTTTTCTTTTTCAAAATAATTTTTCTTTCCTAAATATACACATAACAAGTTATGGCATCATAGCTACAGGAAACTTGCATATATAAATTACAATATAAGTTATTTAGGCTTTCCACTACTTAATTATTATCAATATTATTATTTACATTGACTAGCACCTTATTGTTATCATTAATTTACTTTATTGTAATTGTTCATCATTGTAAACTGTCAGTAAATTGAATATTTTCAAATACATTTTTTTATATTTCAGTTTTCACCATAATTGAAAGTCTGTAATAAAAAAAGTTTAATAATAATTATATAAACATATAATAAACAACAAAAGCTATGCTATTAGAAATGCCAGACACTTGCCTGAATGGGTAATTGCTAATACTTGTAATTGATTTCTTTTTCTTTTTAAAAATAAAAAAAAATCATGTTTTATCTTGTATCTTTGTTGTTCACATCCTGCATGCACCTGATTAAACCATGACCTGGGTTTTATGTCACATTCTTTTTATTGTTTTTAAAAATGAATGATTCAATATAACTAGTAATAAATAATAAAAAATCACAACTAGTAATAATATTATAATTATCGTAGGAAAGCTTGTAAATACAATGCTGCAATTTAGCTTCGGCTGCCATTAATTGTACAGAATGTATAAAAGATTTGAATTGAATATGATAAAGAAGAATGATTTAATAATAATCATGATTGGTGTTGAAAGAAAGCAGCTTAGCTCAGTCGGCTAATCTGGAGGTAGCCACTGTGTGTGCGCTGAACCATGGAGATTTCTAGGTCCCCAGTTCAATTCCCTTCGCTGCCTCTCCTTGTGTTTCAGCTAGAGGGCTGAAATACAAGTTACAATAGCGCACCGTCTTTCGGATGAGACGTTTAAGCAGTTGGTCCCGTGTGCATTTATGGCCCATGTGCACGTTAAAGAATGCAGTACACTCTTCGGAATAGAGTAGGGGATTGTCTCCTGGTGTACTGTCCAATCACCACCAGAAGGACCCCACTGGAAATAAGTCTTCTTCTAGACTTTCGTGGGCTATCCTTGGTGTTTACACCAAATAAGTCCAATCCAATCCAATCCAAGAATCAAGTTCTAGACATGTGACTTACTGCTTTCAGATGTTGTAGCTTATCTGCAAGATGTTCAACTCCTGATTTAACACTGACAAGAATTTTACTGCATTTGTCCAGCTTCGTCTTGGAGCCATCCCGTCGCTCCTCCTCTTTCTTCAGATAACCCTCAAACTCTTCCAGCATCCTCTGCCCACTAAAATAGCACAAATGAGAGACGCCAGTTGTATGATTTTGAAACATGATTTATGGTTGTTTAAAATTGATTACAGTACCATCAAGTGGGGGGAACTCATCAATTAATGAATACTCATGCACTATTAAGCATTTTATGTACATCAACAGATTTATAAAATACCTGATTGACATGCGATGATGTATGCAAGGAGAAATTTTGCATTGCATCGTTTGGAAGGTGCACGTCACAGATACTAGAAACACAAGATAGAACTCTACACATAAAACTTTATTCCCACCATGCACTGAAATGCATGGTTGGAATACAACAAATGGGGTGCAGCGCATGTAGTGATATAAAAAAAACTTCTTAGTGATAGAGTTTCCATCATTAGCAGAAAGAGAAGGGGACACTGCGCACGTTGCGTAAAAGCTTTGACATAAATCTGCTTCACTTTTTTTGCTATGCGAGAGATCTTGTGTTTCTAGTATCTTTGGTGTAAAACTACCATGAGTCTCGTGTAATATCAATGTAAGAAAAACAAACATCACAGGTCTCTAGCACTACCTAGATTTCAAGTGGGCAAAGTGCAGCATTCATGCAAAAGAATGGTGATTTCGGTAGGATATCTTGGGAAATCTATGTAACAAAATGCTCTATGTAACAAGTTGTCTTTTGTGAATTGAGTATAAGACAAGTAACTATACTTATACTAATGTCCATAAAAATTAAAGTAACGATAATGATTGCGAGCCTGCTTGAGAGTAGAACTAAACATTTTGGATTCTTGAAGCTAAACTCAGGCTCTTTCATGATGCTTGGGGAGGGGAAATGTTTTAACCATGAAAAAATGCTCTTCATATTACAGGATTAAACCCAGAACCCTGAACTGGAAGGATGGGCATCCCTACCAGTATACCATTTGGCTAGATGCTTACCTGGACAGCTTAGCTTCTCCTGAATACTTCATCTCCTCAAACTCCAGTTGTAACTTGGCCTTGTCCTCTTTGAGTCTTACCAACTGCTTCTCACCTCCTTCTTTCAGTTCTTCAAGATGTTTGGTTGTGTCACCTTGCGACTCAAATCTTAGTACAACTTCCTATTGAAACCAATTAAAATAAACAGCAAAATGATAATGATGCCACAGTAACAAAGCAAAATATGTGCATTTATTTATGTATTAAAAATAATTGAATAACAAAATTACTAAAAATATAACAAATTATCTATTGCTGCACAATACTAGAAGTGGTTAAAAATACAAAGTCTTACCCCAAGGTCAGAGACTCCAGTTGCTTCTTTGATGGTAAGGAACGCTTCCTCGTATGTGCTTATCTTCTTCTCTTGATCCTCACCACTAATGGTCTGCTTCTGTTCTGGTGTAAGGTCATCATGTTGAATTGAAGAGCGAGCAAGCTGTAACAAGAGCAATAAAACAAGATAATTTACCATCAATGTTCATAAAAAGTAATATTCCAGTAATTTTTTAGTAAAATATATATTGTTTTAGAACCCCAGTTATTTCTTTGTAAATTGATCAGATGGTGTCCAAGAAACAAAGAATGAATGGATAGATTTATTTAGTGTAAACACCAAGGATTACCCACGGAAGTCTAAAGAAGATCCAGTAGATTCCTTCTGGTGGTGATTGGCCAGTACACCGGGAAACAATCCCTTACTCTTTTCCAAAGAGTGTACTGCGTTCTCTAATGTGCACAAGGGCTAAGGCACACAGGATCAACAGCTTAAACGTCTCATCCAAAACACGGTGTGCTATCGTAACTTACAATTTAGCCAACCAGCAGAAATACAAGGACAGCAGCAATGCGGATTGAACCGGGGACCCTAAGATCTCCACGATTCGCTGCACAAACAGAGACCACTAACAATTTAACAATTTAGTCAAATGAATAGAAGAAAGGGGTGTAAAATTTGTAAACTCTAAATAACAAGAGTGGATATTAAAAATGGGCGGAAAGGCATGAAATTAGGCCGTTTGAGTGGGGCAAAATATCTTAAATATCATACACTCCTTCTCAGGATACCAAACAGCAAGATACGTGTTAAGTGGTCTCTACATCAGACACCCAATATGCTTACCCTTCTTTGCTCAACCCTCTCTGCATGTGCTCTCTTCTCCTCAGCTTGCTTCTTCAGTACTGCAAGTGCCTCTTCTCTTTCCCTTCTTTCTCTATAAACTGTCTCCTCGTGTTTAGCTAGTTCAGTCTGCATAAATAATATATAAAGAAGATTCAATATACTACTATTAAAAATTAACAAAGGATGAAAACACAAAGGCTGAAAAGAAAACATATGAGAGTGAACATTTGAAATAGCTTGGAACCACATGGTTTAAAACTCCCACATTGAAAAACATATTAATGAGGAGAATGGATAATTAGAGAGCCACCTTAGCAGCATTGCCAAACATCAGAATGGGGGGGGGGGGAAAAGGGCAAATTAGAGGGCTATTGGGAGAAACCAGTACCTTAGCAGCATCTCTGGAAATCTGTGCATCTCTGTTCATTGCTTGCAATTCTGTCAGCTCCTGCTTTTGTTGTTCAATCTCTGCTTCTAACGAGTCAAGTTCATTACCAAATGTAAGACTGTCTTTGATCATCTGACCTTGAATGGAATGGTAGGTGCTATTGATATGCACCGCTTCATTCAGTTTCAGCACAGCTTTGTCAAGTCTGTTCTCAAGTGATCGCAAGGCCTGTAAACAAGATAATAATGCCAGACACTTTTACATAATAATATAAGCAGTGGCGGCTCTAGGTTATATTTTCTGGGGGGCTAAGTTGTCCGACAGGGGGGCTTGAGCTCGTAGGCTCGAGCTGGAGGAAGGGGTTGAGAGGGGGCACCCCTCCCAAATGAGAATTTTTTACAGAATATCAACCTCTGGATGACCAAAAATGGCACTCTCAGACTGCGACAGACATGTATTGGCTTGGTGTGGGCCTATTTTTATATGTTTTATGGTCTGACTGCCCGAC